GGGCCCTGGTCTCCCAGTGAAATGTGAGTTCTTAAGGATAGGACTGTGTCTACCTGCCTGTGGCTATACCCCCAGGTAATGCACAGGGTGAGCACCCAGTAGATGCTTAAGCAGCATTTTCAGAATGAAGTGAATTTGTGCTGATCTGCCCCCCAGGATCCTGATTTGCATTGAGTTCCTGGTGCAATAGAGAAGTCCGCTCCAATGTTCGCTGGGCCTGGAGCGAGAGTACAAACGAAGGTCCATGTACTATATGTCTAAATATTTAAAGTTCTACATCAAGTGAACTACGATAGGCTGCTCACTAATGGCCCCCTGGCTTCATGCCTACTGACGTCCACAACCTTCCCTTGCTTCGGCCTTTGGGACATCAGCAAACATGACGCAAGCAGAGGCTTAATACATTCTGGACCTTAGGTCTCATCCTCTTGGAACACTGCCATCGCCATGGTTGGTCCTGCTGGAGAGGCCACATAGAGGACTGAGGTGTCCTGCCTGACAGCACCAGCTAGCCACCAGATATGAAGTGTTCGCCTTGAACCGTCCAGTCCCAGTTCAGCTCTAGGTGACTATAGTTGCATGAGTGACCCCAGGGAAAAGAATGTTTTCCCAGCTGAGTCCACTGGATGTGGTTTTGAGCCACTAAGTTCTGAATGTTTATTATGCAGCAATAGAAAACAGACGCATTAATTAGCCCCTGTTAAATAATAAAATATGTTCTATCCTCTGACTTTATTCAATATACCTTTAAAACGATATGGAAGGCCAGGTTCAAATTTATTCTTTTTTGTTTTGCCAAGATTTTTCTAGGTTAGATTTTTTTTGTGTGTGTTGAAATACACATAACAGAAAATTGGTCATTTTAACCATTTTAAAGTATACAATTCAGTGGCATTAAGTATAATCATGATAGTGTACAAATGTTCTAGTTCCAAAACATTTTCATCACCCCGAATGGAAACTCTCTGCCCATGCTCCAGAAGGGGGTCTGTGGGCTCCAGTAAATACATCCCTTGTTCCCACAACTCGGGCCTAGTGTGTGGGGGTGGAGTTTGCCCTGTAAAGTGCAGTGCTGTAATAGAGACCTCTCTTGCCCCTGTCTGAGGCTGGCGCTGGCAACAGAAAAACACCAGCCCAAAGGTGATGAACAGAGGCTTAACTTACCTGCAAAAGACAGAATGTGGAAGGGACTGCGTCACAGCGGTGACGGGGGGGCGGGGGCTTGCCTTGGCCAAGGGGCAGCTCCCCCTCAGTTGTGGCCCATTGCAAACCATCAGGACTGTAGACCACTCTTACTGGACTTTTCAACTTTACAAGGGAAGCCAAAAATCCAGATTTTCATTAGAAATCTCCCAATGTTTTGGACAGACCAAACCAAGAGTATCTTCAGGCGGGGTTTGGCCAGTGGGGTCCAGCATAGAAACACGAAGGATCTGTGCCTAAAACATGGGCAAGGGATGTGGTGGGTGCGAGAGGAGAGATGGCAGAGGGAGCTTGGCTTCTGTGCAGATTTGAACAGGTGATAGGATTGTGGTTCACCGGAGTGACATTAACTACATTCATTGTGAGCCCCCTGCAGAACTCGGAACACGATTGGGACTAGTTTAAGCCCAACAGTAATCCCAGTCTTCCTGGGAACTATTGCCCTCACATCTCCTCTCTCAGGCCATGCGACTTCTCTATGCCTCAGTTTCTTTGTCTTTAAAATGGAGTTTAAGACAGTACTGTGCCAACTTTATAGAGTATGTTAAGTGAATAAATGTACATAAAATACTGAAAAATACAGGCACAGAGTGAGCACTACTGAAGTGTTGGCTATTGTACTCGCTATTGTGTTAGTTGCATAACGAGTGGCTTAGAACAACAATACGCATTTGTTATTTCATAGTTTCAATGGGTCAGAAGTTCAGGAGTGGCTTAGCTGGGTGGTTCTGGCTAGGGGTCTCATGAAGTTTATAATAAATGTCAGTTGAGGCTGTGTCATCTGAAAGCCTGACTGGAGGATGTGCTTTCAGGAGAGCAGAGCTCCCTTTCATGGCTGACAAGTTGATGTTGGTTGTTGGGTGGGGCCCTCAATTCCTCACTGTATGTCTCTCCCCAAAAGATTGCATGAGTGTCCTCACAGCATGGCAGCTAGCTTCTCCCAGAGCACATGATCTAATCAAGAACAAGGCAGAAGCCATGTGTTTTTTATGACCTAGCTCAGAAGTCACACACACACCATCATTTTCAAATGCTCTTGGTTATAGGGTAAGGGTTGCGGGATACACAAGGGTGTGAGCATAGGAGGCAAGGTTCACTGGGCTATTTTGAATAAAGGTAGCTGTAGGGAGCTAAAGCTCCCCAAATTCAAAAGAGTGCATGGATTATCTCGGGAGGCCTGCTTGCATAAAAAAGAAAAGGCTGGTTCTGTGGAATTCCAGGAAGAAGAAGATTAAGTATAGCCAAAGGGAGTGTTGAAGGGAGTGTCGAAGGGAGTGTCAAAGGAAGTGTCAATTGTACCTGGATCTTCAGGATGTTACTTTTATTATGTTATTTTGGGATACACAAAGGAACAGATTGTGTTTAAAAGAAGGATAAGAAATAAACTCGGAGAGACAGTTGTGAGATCTGCTCTCCCTCCTGCACCCTGTCTGTCTTCTCTTTTTTCTCAGTCCCCGCTCCCCCATTCAGGTACCCGGTTTGACTTGGTCGGCTGGCTTCCGACAGGTAGCGTGTGTATCGTGGGTGCTAAGAACACAGTCATGAGTCAGCCAGCCTGGTTTCCAATCCTAGCTCTTTCCAGACGACTGTGAGAACTTTGACAAGTATGTAATCTCTCTTTCATTGTGTCCTCATCTATAAAATAAAATAACTACCTACCTCATTTGGAGTTGTTATTAGGATTAAGTGAATACAGAATCACTTTAGAACAATACCTGGCATATATGAAGTGCACAGTAGGTGTTCACTGCTATTTTTATTATAAGCAGCCCCTCCACCGACAGATAAGCTATTCCTGTCCTACCCACAGAAGCCCCAAGGATTGGAAATTAGTAAAGAGGGACTGAAGGGCCCCTAGTAACCTAGGTTCTAGAGATACATGTGGGATGACACTGTTTATGAGTCTATGTGCCGTCCCAGACTGAAAACTCCCAAAGACAGGGACTGCATTCAGCTGCCCATAGACAAGCAAAGCAAAAGTCAATTTCCCTGCTTCCCTTTCTGATGAGAGATTCCAGTCCACATGTCACCTTTCCATGCCATTTACCTTGACCAGAGTAGCCTACGTGCTGTGTATGGGGGAGGAGGGGCAGTGTCTTCCAGCACAGTAACTGGTACACAGTAGATGCTCAAGAAAATTGATTAGTGTGACCGCGTCATTGCTAGGGCAGAGGCCGCATTTCACAGAGCAGTTTTTGGGATTCGACCAAGAGCCAGGCCCCTGGAGAAATTCTTCTGTAGAAAATCTTTTGGATAAATTCACAGTACGTACCTCTAAGAGCCTTTGGCACATTTTATGCCCTCTGAAACATGGCACAGAAGAAGTCCTTGAAAATTGGATTGTGAAAAGGCCATCAAGTTGGGAAAAAAATTGATCATTTATCTCTCAGTGCAGGAAGTTGGGGAAGAGAGAACACATTCTGGGATAGCGATGTCTCCTGCTCAGACAGAGCCAGGGGCTGCGAGAGGGACAGGCGGGCTGCCAGAGTAGGTGGTGACTGTGCAGGTCTATTTATGGAGGTTTTCCTCCCTGCCCTTCCCATCTGCCTGTCACTGCTGCCAGGATCTGCAGTCCTGGCATCTGGCCCAGTCAAATGTATAAGTGGTGACCTGCACATCGTCATCAGGCTGGTGACTTGCGGCTTCAGATTCCAGAGTCTGAGCTGGCTTGGAGCCCTGCTGAGTCAACTATATTCTTCTTGCCAGAGCTTGCCAGTCAAGTGGCCCTGGGTTCTTCCTGGCAGGTGTGTTTTCCTGTGTCAGTCTCTCTTTCCTGATAGGGCATAGGGTAGTTGTAGGGATGGTGGGGTGGGGAGGACTTTAGTGAAAGTTTGTTGAATGAATGTTTAACCTTGTGTAATGAACATGGCCCAGCCCCACAGCTGCACTCAGTTCTTCTCTTGTTGCAATCTTGCCCCTACCCCAGGCTCAGAGTGTTGAGGTCTCTCCCTTCAGCCTGGGGACTCCATGTAGGAGAGCAGACGACTGCCTAATGAGTGAATGAATGAATTAGGGTCGGCAGTCCTTCCATGTATCCTCCCTTTCTGTTCAAATGTTCCTGCTTTGATACAGGGAAAACCCAGACACTGAAGACCCTGGAGGTAGAGAGTGGGCTGTCGGAAGTGAGGCACTGAGCTGGAGACTGAACAGGATAGACCGGGCCTTGCCAGCAGGGTACTCAGTTGTGGGGATGGAGACTGAGGGAGGTTAAAGAATTCACAAACACATCTTCAATGACATCCTTAAACGAGAAGGAGCGTGGGAGTCCAGAGATGTCTTCCTGGGGGTTCAACCTGGTCTTGGGATGCTCTCCCGGAAGCTTCCCAGAGAAGGCAGGGATGTTTGAGGCGTCCCGGGCTCCCGACCCGGCCCCGTGGGACTCAGTGCACTAGGGCCCTTTCTCACACTTCTCTATCCCACCGTCTCTCCAGCTTTATGACTTGGGGAGGGGATCGGGAATGTCGCCCGCGCGCCCAGCCCCAGAGACGTCAGCGCCCTTTCGCCAACTGAGCGCGGCGGTGCGGGGTTGGGAGGCTCGGAACTCCGACGCTGGTAAGGGGACCGTGGGGAGGACAGTCACGTCTCCCACGGTCGACAGAGGGGATATCAGGAACTGGTTGGGAGGAGTCAGAGTTTTGCACTCGGAGGGCGCCCCACACCCCGGTAGTAATTGCACCGCGGGGAAAGCACAGACCCTCAATCCTGCCGCACGCCCCGCCCACAGCATCCCTCGCGCTCCGCCTCCGAGGCTGCCCCGCCCCCTGCTACCCCCGCCTATAAAAGGGGCGTAGCGGAGCCCCACTAAACGCAGAGGGCCCGAGGCTGTGAACCGAAATTTTTCTGTGGCTCCTGCACTCAAGCGAGCCTCCGCCAGGATCTTTGCGTCTCCGGACCCGGTGTCACCTTGCACCCCCACGTCCCTGTGTTTCCGCGTTCTCGCGCCCAGGCCACCGGGAAGGATGCGCTGTGCGTCGACAGCCGGAGCAGCCCTGGTGCTGTGCGCCGCCACCGCCGGGCTGCTGCGAGCACAGGGCCGCCCAGCGCCAGCCGAGCCACCGCCGCGCTTCGCGTCCTGGGACGAGGTGAATGTGCTGGCGCACGGGCTCCTGCAGCTCGGCCAAGGGCTGCGCGAGCACGTGGAGCGCACCCGGGGGCAGCTGGGCGCGCTAGAACGGCGTCTGGGCGCGTGCGGAGCCGCCTGCGAGGAGCCCAGGGCGTCCGCCGCGCCCCCTCACGTCTCAGCGAGTCTAGTCCCCCACGGCGAGGTCGCCCCTGAGACCCTCCGCAGCATGCAGGTACGTACGCCCGGGGATGGCTGCCCGCGCTCCTACTGCTCTCATGCGGGTCTGGAAAGGTGTGGACGAAGGAGACATCCAGGGCTCCCTGAACTATCCTGCCCAGGTGTCAAAGGAAGGACAGTTGAGTGGATGAATGGAGAGGTTGGCGGCGAAGGCCGGATCCTCATCAGAGTTTTCACACTCTCCTCAGATGCAGCTCAAGGCTCAAAACAGCAGGATTGAGCAACTCTTCCAGAAGGTAGCCCAGCAGCAGCGGCACCTGGAGAAGCAGCACCTGAGAATCCAGAATCTGCAGAGCCAGGTGCCGGATGTTTGCCCCAGGTGGGGAGGAAGCTGGACCTGTGTGGGTCTGGATGTGAAGCGGTGCAGGCTGGGCAGCCTGAGCCAGCCAGTCCTGACACCCGCCTCCCGTCCTTTCCCAGGTGGGCCTCCTGGCCCCCATGCACCTTGGCCATGGCTTGACCCAGCCGGCCAGAAAGAAGAGGCTACCCAAGATGGCCCAGCTTGTTGGCCCTGTTCACAATATCAGCCACCTGCAAAGTGAGTGTCCAGCCCTTTGCTGTCCTCTGGCAGCTCCCCCTTCCACACACACACATACACCAGCAATAACTGTACCTCTGCTTGTCAGGACCACCTTACTGAGGAGACAGATCCTGGCCCTGGGTCCCTGGAAGCTCTGGTGAAGGGCTGACAGGGACAAACCCCTCCTCAGCTCTGCCCTCGCCCACCCCACCCATCTTTCAGATGGGCCAGCGGGATTTGCCCCAAAGCCTTGCTGGCCACTAATAAAGCAGAGGTTGGGCAAGAGGGCCCAAGAGGAACTTGAGCTGCAGGGGCGTGCGGAAGGGGATGGTGCAGCTCAGACACCTCCCTATAGTTTGGAACCTTTTAGGAGGGCTCCATGGTGGACAGGAGGGTGTCAGGGAGTGTGGAGTGCTCATGGCGTAAATAGCGAATGCTTACCCAGGAGAGGAGTACGGAGGTTTGGGCCCCCCCACAGTCTCTTGGAGTGTGGATCTAGGAAGGGGAGTGGGGCAGGGCACCCCTATCTCTCTGGCCAGACACATTCATTCTTGTGTCTCTGGCAAATCCAGGGTTCTTGACCTGCACACAAGATCCCTCACCCCTCTCTTGGCCCTGAAGTGCCTGATCACCCCCACTTCCCATCCTCCCACTCCCACAGAGAGCTGGCCTTTGCCACCATCCGGAGTTTTGGGTCCTTTATTGGGCATGCCTGAAGTTGCCCCAAATCTCCAACCAAAGCATGTCTGTGTATAATACAGACTGCCAGCGCCCCATGTCTCTGCCCTACGCATAGTTCACAGCCTCAGACCCAGTTGACTTCTCTCTGGCCCTCCAACCCTGTCACCCATTCTGGCGTCTGTGGTTGTCTGCAGCCAATGGTGAAAGTTTGGATCCCCACTTCACACCCTTAAGCTGGTTGCTGGCTTCCAGCCCTCTAGTTTTGAGGGCTCTCCCCACCCCATCCCAGGTCCAGTACACCCTTCCAAACCGCTGTTCTGGGATGAGGGACATCTGGGGGAGGCCAGCAGGCATAGGTCCGGCTGGAGGAATGTGGAGGGAATTGGAGGGCAGGATGTGTGGGTTTGGGGACTCCCAGACTCTCTCCTCGCCAAGTAGGGGAAAGTTCAGAGCTGGAGAGAGAAACAGCTGGTGTTAATAGAAGCCACATTGGTGGTTTGGCCCCGGGCCTGTTCTGATTGGAAGAGAGGGAAGTAGGGGAAAGAGCAGCTGCGGTGGGGGCCGGAAAGTGTCTCCAGTCACTCCAGGCCCGCCCCCACCTCTGCTGCAGTGCAGACACACTTACCCCTCAGGGCTTTTACCTCCCCCGAGTGACCTTTCCCCTACTTTTTTTGCTGGGCTGGGGGTGGGGACTTACCTAGCTTAGGGACCCTCGCCATCCCTCCCTCCTTTGCTCTAGCATTCAACTCCCCCTCATACCTGGGACTCCAGGCAGGGTCTCTGTCCCCACAAACCCCATCCAGGCCTGATCCTCATCCCCACTAGACAGAGGAGAGCCTGTCCAGTTCATCTCAGCTCTTGTCTACTTGCCGCCCTCCCCCAGGTCCAGCTCCTGCAATCATTCATTCATCAATCATTCATTTATCGAATCTTTATTGAACATCTGCTGTGGGCTAGGATCAGCCTGGGCACCAGTGCCAGGCTGTGGGTCAACAGCGCTCCTTGTCCCCGGCCTCATGGAATCCTAATTCAGGGGAAGGAGTGAGGGAGAGACTGCCAGATGACACCCGTGTTAGGAATGGGATGTCCTCCATGCCTTTTTCTAGGTGTCTGGCCTGGTCTGGGGATCAGTGATTCCTTCCAGAAGCTGGGACCTTTAGAATGAGACAGAAAGAGGTGTGAGGGAAGGGGGTCTTAGACAGAAGGACCAGCATGTACAAAAGCCTTGTGGCACGAGGGTGTGTGGAATAAGGAAGGCCGTGTGGCCAGAGGGTAGGCACGCAGTGTGGGAAGAGGAAGGACGAGTGCTCGGACCAGTCCTGGGGCATCTTGTAGGCAGTGCTGAGGAAGGTCATGAGAAGCCACGGGAGACTTTAGGCAAGTGGAAGTGGTGGTCGTGAACTCAGGACTGCCCCCTCACGCACGTACCTGTTGCCTACTACCCAGACCCTAGATATGGCTGTTTCCTGAGACCCTCAGGTGTGCTCTCTGCTTCAGTCTCCCCACATCTCTGCCCTGCAGGGCTGCCCAGGGACTGCCAAGAGCTGTTTGAAGATGGAGAACGGCAAAGCGGACTGTTCCGGATCCAGCCTCGGGGGTCCCTGCCTTTCCTGGTTAATTGCAAGATGACCTCAGGTAGGATGTGTTGGCCCACCAGGGCGCCCCGAATATCATGAGTCCTGTGGTCTTTCGGTCAAATGCAGCCCACCTCACTCTCTCGTTCCCACTCCTTTTCCTGTTGGGTCCTGGGGGAGCAAAATTCTAGGCTGAGCCCCTAGCCTGCTGGCCGGCCTACCGTATTCCTTCCTCTGACTGCCTTCCTCCAGTCCTGCTGGGATGAATGGAGGGAGCATTGCCCTCCCTGGGTTTGTAGGTGGCTCGGGGTTTGAGAGCCAGATGGAGGAGTCAGGGTCCCCTGTGAGAAGGGTCCTCCTGGTGACCTTGTACCTCTCTGGGCAGATGGAGGCTGGACTATAATTCAGAGGCGCCAGGATGGCTCTGTGGACTTCAACCAGCCCTGGGAAGCCTACAAGGCTGGCTTCGGAGATCCCCAAGGTGGGTATTTCCAGAGGTCTGGAGGCATGGGTGGTGGAGGGGCCTGGAGGCGGGTTTCCATCTTACTGATCAGCCTCTCCCACTGTAGGAGAGTTCTGGCTAGGCCTGGAGAAAGTGCACTTGATCTTGGGGGGCCGCGGCAGCCGCCTGGCCGTGCAGCTGCAGGACTGGGAGGGCAATGCCGAGTCACTGCAATTCCCTGTCCACCTGGGTGGCGAGGACACGGCCTATAGCCTGCAGCTCACCGCACCCGTGGCCAGCAAGCTGGGTGCCACCACGGTCATGCCCAGCGGCCTTTCCCTGCCCTTCTCCACTTGGGATCAGGACCACGACCTCCGTGGGGACAAGAACTGTGCCAAGAGCCTCTCTGGTGAGCAAGTTCTGTCCCTGTTCGTCTTGACTGCTGGGGCCTCCCATCCCTGCCTTTCTGCTTCCCTGCCCTTCCTTCGACCCTTCCTTCCATCCGTTCCCTTCTTCACCTTACTTGCTGTGTGCCCTTTGGTAACTGATTTAACTTCTCCCACCTTCAGTTTAAAATGGGTGTAACCACAGTGCCCACTCCATAGGATTATTATGAAAATTCAATGAGGTGACATTTGTGGGATGGTGGCTGGCATGTGGCAAAGCTACCAAGGGAAACCCGATCTTACTCTAATGAAATCAGAGGCAGAGCCTGGGCCTTGTGAAGTGAAACACATCAAACTGCCCTTTGGTGGGTCAAACAATGATGGAATACTGATCGTTTCATATGGCTCAATTTAATATAAATTGATGAGACGGATGGCAGTCATGGAAAGTGTTTCACGAGTGTAGGCTATGTGCCAGGTGCAGATAAGTAACTTCGCCGTGCTCACAGATGTGAACCTCAGAGGCCCTGAGGTTCCTCCTTCACAACCTAGGGTTCTTCAGAACACAGTTTGATAAGCACTGTCAAATCTTTCCCATCTAAAGCATATAAAGTCCAATGCCTAGCCTCATCCCCATCCCAGCCCCAGTGGAGGCCCAAGGACTCCGCCTGACCATGTTCCATTTTTTCTGACCCTGGCAGGTGGCTGGTGGTTCGGTACCTGTGGCCACTCCAACCTTAACGGCCAGTACTTCCACTCCATCCCCCAGCAGCGGCAGCAGCGTAAGAAGGGCATCTTCTGGAAGACGTGGCGGGGCCGCTACTATCCGCTGCAGGCCACCACCATGCTGATCCAGCCAACAGTGGCCAAAGCAGCCTCCTAGCCTCCTCACTGGGGCCTGGTCCCAGGCTCCTAGAGGACAGTGACTCTGACTCTGGTCTAGCATGTTGCCACTCCCTGCCTGGACAGAGGCTCCAGGCAGGGGCCATCTGGAGCCTCATGGACAGAGAAGAAGCCCATGTCTGGAGAGGCCCCCTTTCTGAGTGGGAGGCTGTCTGTGATACCTTCTGAAAAGGACAGAACTGTAGGGCTGCAGGGCACAGACCCCAGAAACATGGGACCAAGGGGCATTGAGACCTGTTCCTCACCTGCCCGAGGAATGGTGGGACACAGAGGGACCACTCGAGGGCAGCCAGGCCAGCCCTCAATGGCAGATTCAGTCATATTGACTGGCTGGGGACCCGGCTCCCATGGGCCCAGACGCCCTCATGGTGCTATCGTATGTGAGTGCTGTGGGACGAGCCAGTGACGGTGGTGCCTGGGCAGACCTCGCACAGTTCTTGGAATAAAAGCAACCTCAGAACATTTGGTTCTTTGTCCTTCAACTTGTTTTAACAAGTGGACAGTTTCAAAGTCCACTTAAACATGTTCCCAGGGTAGAGGGTGAACTCTCATCTGAAGACAAACACTGGTTATTCCTACCACCTATGACAACTGATTTTAATTTTCTTCATGTGTTATTTTGTGATGAGTATCATTTTTAAAATTAGAAAACCCTCATTCAATCCTTCTGGAAGTGGATAATAGAGAAAATGAGAACTCCTTCTTGACCATACTTATGCATATGAATCACGATTAACTTTTCTGTGTCCCACCAGCTGATAGAAATATGTGAATTGCATGTTTCATTTTTTCTAGCGGTCACATTTCTATTTTTTATTTTATTTATTATATATATATTTTTTAGGCGAGGCAACCATTGGTTGACCTCACAGATTGCAAGGACCTTGTCAGCTTACAATCTCTTATTTTTTTTATTTTTTACACCTACAGCACCTGGTCTTCCTGGGTGGTCTCCCATTCAAGTACTAACCGGGCCTGACCCTGCTTAGCTTCCGAGATCAGACGGGATCTGGCTTGTTCAGGGTGGCATGGCTGTAGACTTAGCAGTCACATTTTTAAAAAGTAAAAAACAGGTGAAATGAATTTTAGAAATACATTTTATGAATGCAGTATATCAAAAATATTACCATTTCAACATGTGTGATCAATATAAAATTTATTAATGAGATCTTTGATATTGCTTTTTTGTCCTGAGTCTTTGGGATTGGTATATATTTTACGCTTAGGGCCCATCTCAATTTGGACCAACCATATTACAAGGACTCAGTAGTCGCAGGGGCCATTGGTCACTGTTTTTGGATAGCATGGCTCTGCGGTGTACATTAATGTAGTATTTTGGGTAAACTCTTAACATTTTTGCCATATCTGCATAAGTTTTCTTTTAAATTGGCTTTAAAATATATATATATAAATTCAACTAATATTATTTGAGCACCCGCTACATGCCAAGCCCTGTACTCTGTGTTTAAGATAATCTAGTGAGAGAAATCCCTGCATGCACCAAGATTACTTTCAAAACCACTCCTATTACAGATCGGGTGACCCTTCATTAATGGTCCAAACTGAGACACTTGAGAGTGAAAGGGGGTGTGCTGTTAATAAGTCAAGTGACAGATGTAAAGCTCTGTGGCTTCAGTTACTGCATCTTGAAAATGGGAATGGTTCTGGTAATCCGCCCTCCCTAACACACTCCTTCCTGTTCTCCTGATGCTGTGAGGATTTCAGGATTTCATGTAGTATTACGTGAACAGAACTCAGAACAGTGTCTGGCTCACGGTGAGCACTAAATATAAACATTAGCCATCCTTACTAACACTATTATTACTCTGACTCAGGCTGGGAGGAGAGCACGACACAAGAGAAAAGGCTTCATGAGGTGGACGTGGCTTTTGAGTCAGTTTACAGAAGATGAAAATTCTACAAAATGGGGGAGGAGGATGACATTCCAGGAAAAGGGCACTGAGAGCAAAAGCTTAGTGGCCTGGGCAGGAAGTGCAGCTCTGTCTGGGAAACCAGTGCACAGCCCCACCTGGGGGTAGCAACGCGCAGCAAGCTGGGTGGTGAATGGGGGTGGGGCGGGCAGGGGGTTGGTGGGAATGTGCGGGGCCTTAAGCCCACAGGCCAGGAGCATGCTGACAAAGGCCGGAGGGTCCGCCCTGGTCTGGCTTCCGGCCTCACCTTTTTGCTTAATCTCATCTTTGGCCCTTGGACCCCACTCTCCAACTGATGCAGGACAGGGCAAATTTCCCCAAGTGGGTGGAGACCAAACCCTGCACTGAGAAGATTCTTTAGCAGAGACTGTAGAAAGAATTCAACACACATGCCAAAGTTAGGGTCAAAAGGAAAGACTATTAAAGAAGGAGAAAAGCAAAGACTAGAGAAAGCAAAGACGAAAACCCAAGACAAGGAAAAAAGCCCCAAGTGTCAAGAGATACAGTTTGTGTATCATTCTCTAGTTCTTGAGAGTTATAGACTTTGTTTACCCATTTCCTTTGATATGGACGAACAGTGAGGAAAGAGAAGTGTGAAAGGCCTGCTGACAGTTCTCAGCCTTTAATCCATAGGTTCCCTATGGTTTTAACCATAGGAAATGAACGATTTTATTTGTGTGAGGCAGTTACTTAAAGACTCTGTTTTTTCTGTTTCCCCTTTCACAGATATGGGAAATGAGTTGTTAGTAATCCCAGCAGAAATCTTCCTTTGTTCTGCAAGTGTCCACCTGGCCTGGCCACAGAACTGTCTGTAAATGTAGCTTGATTTAACATTTAGTTCTCTTGCCTCCTCCCTACATTACAGCCAAGGCCTCCTTGCTGTTCAGACACATCAGGCTCTCGCTCTCTCTTTCTCTCACTTGCTGTTTCCTCTGCCTGAAATACTGTTTCTACTATTTCCTCCCCCACCCATAGACTCAGTGCAAATGCCACCTCCTCCAGGAAGCTTTCTCTGCCTCCCGAAGGAAGTCCGCTATCTCATAACCCAGGTTATTCACCTCTTTGCACACCTACCATTCTAAAACTTTTGTGCATGTTGTTTACTTGCTTTTTGTCTTCCTGCCTCCACTAGACGGTCAGCTCCATGAGGGCTTAGATTTCACCTTGTTCAGTGGTGCGCCCCCAGCTTCTAAAGCACGGTTAGTAGGTACTTAGTAAATGCTTATTAAAGGAAGAACTAAAAGATTTTTAAGCAGTGGAGGAAGACAATCTGACTTATGTTTTAAAAGCCTTCCTCTGACTGCTGTGGGAAGAACAGAGTGTGCAGGTGTGGGTAGAGAAGGCAGATCTGGGGGTAGACAGGCAACTGCATAGGTCCAGGGAGTGATGATGGGGCCAGTGTCGGGGTGGTGGCAGTGGAGTGGGTAGCGGGTAAGAAGTGGTTAGAAATTTAGGAGGAAAGAGGGACAGAAAAAGGCCATTGAGGGCGGGGAAGGGAGGCAGGGGCAGAGAAGTAAAGGATGAGGAGAGAAAAGCACTACCTATGGTTTTGATGACGGGTGGTGTGGGGATGGAGATAGGAGGGGGTTTTTAAGAGTCCAAATTAGTGTCTGGAACTCCTGATGGACATCCTCCAGGAATGAGGTCTAGGAAGCAATATTAATTACTGGCACACAAACTCTGTGCTTACATTAGCCATCACATCTCAAATATTTGAGCATTGGGAACACAGCAGTGATTGCTACACAGGCCCTGCCCTCATGGGACTGATAATTCTGTTGACTTGGGATAGAAACTAAGCAGATTAATGGATCAAAAAAATACATACTTTAAGATTAGGTAATGATAAATCCAGGGGTGGGGGTGTGTGTGTGTATGAGTAATAAAACAGAGTAAGGGACAAAAAATGGGAGATCATGTTGGACAGAGACTTAGTCCCAGTAAGGAGTTACAAATATTTGTTAAACAAAGACTTAACGACAGAAAGTGGATGTTGATTTAGTATGTGTTTAGAGAAATGATCTACAGATAACCTCACAGGTTTCCATGAGGTGAGTTTCTTTCCTGTTACACACAGGGTAGCTGAGGCAGAGGGTTAACCTAATGAGTTACCAAAAATAGGGATGAAAACTGCAACCGGGAGACGAGAAGGGACCTCTAGGTGGAAAAGCCGCACAGAGGCCCCTGGAAACGGTCATTAGTGACGGGCGAGAGAGAGAGGGGACTCAAAGTGGCATGCACTGACCTATGACGTCATCAGGACGTTAACTCGCGTAACATCACCTGGACGTAGCTCCATTTCCCTTCCCCGACAGGTCCTCTGTTAGTTCGGGACAGTCTGAATCAAGCCTCTCATTGGTTACTTGCTCCGTCAATTCGTTTTATTCTTCCAGTCTTCCGCTCCGCCTTCCTGAGCCCACCTCTGATAGGCTGACGCGGCCGTCACTTCAGAAAGGTCCGCATTCCTTCCGCCTTTCTCCAGGAGACCGAGGGCGAGGTGGGTGGATCCCCGGCGTGCCCACCCCAGGGGCTCTGCTTCCACCTCTGATTGGCTGTTCTGGGTGCCGGTCTCTGTGCCACCCACCGCTGATTGGTCATCAGGCCGCCGCTCTGTGCGGCGCCGGCTCCGCCCCCGTCGGGTGTTTGTGGTGGGGCTGCGGAGTCGCCGATCCCGCCGGAAGCGCCAGGACAATGGGGACCCGGGACGACGAGTACGACTACCTATTCAAAGGTACGGCCGGTGAGGCACAGACGGGTGAGGGGGCGGCGGCAAGGCGGTGGACAGACGGACTGAAGCAGCGCTCCAGGCCGCTGGGCCCCGGCCGGTGCCAGGGGCTTGGGGCCCGGCGGGTCAGGCCGTTGGGAAGGCCGGGGCAGGCTAGGCTCGGTCAGCTTTGGGCCGGAGTGTACGACCGTGCGGAATGGGTGGCCAAGAGGGGCCTGAAGGCCCTGCATGAGCCGAGGCGGGGCTGGAGCCCAGAAGGGGGTGGATCCCGGAGCGGTGGGACAGGCCGTTAGGGGCGGGGCCTCTTGAGGGGGCGGGGCAGCCCAAGCGTTTGCCTGGCCGGGTTGGGTGGAAAGCTCCATTGGTTGTGGGGGCGGGGCCCTTGGAGGTGGGGCTAGAGTGTGGTGGGTATGTCCAAGACGTGGGCTGGGCTGGTGGGGCGGTGCTCTTCGTGGGGTGGGCGGGGACATATTTGATTGGTGGCAGTGCGCCTGGGAACCGAGTCCGGGGGGAGGGGTCGGACAATGTGGGTTGAAGTGTGTGGTGGGGAACCCTGGATTGGAGTGTAGACCCAGAATTCCATGGAAGGGGTGCCTGGTGGGGGAACTGTGTGTGCTGGACCCAGGCCCCCTGGTTAGCATCAGCAGTTAATCTTACCTCTTAGAATTCTTAATAGTACTACCCAAGTACCTACACTTTCTAAGCACTTTACACACGTTAATTCATTGAAATCCTCATCTCAACCCTGTGAGATCAATATTATCCAGCCTCTCTTTTTATGGACCTAGAAACTGAGACCCAGAGAGACAAGCATACAGTGAATAAGTGTTGGAGCGGGATTTGAACCCAGGGCAGCTACGGGCTTTACCACTTATGGAGTATATCTGGGGAGCCTGTGGCCAGATCTGAGACTGGGGTGTCAGATCGCCTCCCCCAACATGTGCACACTGATGGCTCAGGCCTGGGCCAAGCTGCTGGAGGGTTTTCCTTGCCAGAGGGACAGAGGGCTCTGGGAGCCATTGCTAGCCTGGGGACAGTTGGAGAGCTACTTCACCCTGCCTCGCAAGCTGGGGAGACTCACTACATGTCACGGGAGCCCTTCATTTCTCAGCTGAGCTGGTTTAGGGGTCACCGGGTTTACAGCACTTCTGCCAAGCTGGACTTGGCCATGTCCTCTACTGTCTGTGCTGGGCTCCTTGGCTGACAGTGGCTGTCATTGAGAGCTAACTCCTGGGCATGTTTTCCCTGTTGCTTTCTGTGTGACGGTCTGCTGCCCGCATGAGCTGTCGGCATCTTCCACTCTTTGGGGGTGCCAAGCTATCCCTGAGAGTGTGGTCTGTGTCTGGAGCTGGCCTTGGCTGACCATCCAACATCTCGGGACCGGGGGACTGGGGCTTTGGGGATGTGGAGAGTGGCTGGAGCACTCCCTACCTGGGATATCCATGTGGCGAAAGGCTGCTGGAAAGAGAGAGTGCCCGTGCAAAGGTCCAGAGGCCTCATACAGCACCATTGGCTCTGAGAGCTGCCTGCAGGCTGATACGTCACTGGCAGGTGAGGCTGTGTGGTCAGCAGGCATCAGGACAAGGCCCTGGTGTTGACTGAGCCTTCCGCTCTCACCTTAAGGGCAGGGGGAAGCTCCGTCAGGGCTTTGGGGACTGATGACAGGTGGTCTGGACTCTAGTCCTACTGCAGCTGGTGCCTGTCTTCTCAGCTTGCTCTGAGGTAGCTGCTCCCCGGTCAGGGCTGGGCACCCACCTGGACATGGCGTTGCAGGGCAGGGGGCATTCCCCTAGTCACCCTGCTGCAGGTTTCTGTGATCATTCCTGC